GTCCTTTGCGAAGGCTCTCTGGAAAAGTCCAGAAAATGGGTGGATTATGCGGAGGAGTTTTCACTTGAAAAAAATGCAGCAAACAACGTTACTTATCAGATTGATATACAAGTACTTGATTTGATGAAAAACATGTGCCAAATTTTCTTCCTTCTAAGACAATCAGAAGAAGGAAAGGACTGCTCTCATCACTTTTGCGACGTCTTCCTTGGTGTAATCGCTACTGACACTGATAGCTTCTCCCCTTGGTGGTACTACTAACACGTCGAGATTCACGCCTGACAATGAGGTTGTCTTGAGATTTCACAGAATGTCATTATTACTACAAGATTCATTGCTGTCACCTTCCAAGCTGACGACCAAAACCCTCTTGAAGTCGTTGTTGCCCTTTGGGTCCAATGTTTTAACACCAGAAGTCACTGTTCTGAAATGTGAAATAAGTTTGAATCTACTTGAGAAATGTAACGATTCTATACCTACAGAGCTGTGAAGAATACCACGCAGTTTGCATTTCTCTTCTTATCACTAGCTTGGTTCAAATTTCCTATTGCTCTGCAAACGCAGTATTAAATTTGTTTGATAATGTACGATTTGAGCTACTTGAGCGTCTTTGTCTTCGTCTTCGCTATGCCAGTTATGTATTCATAATGTCGTTTTTTATTTCTCCCTCAATGATGAGAACAGTTTTCTTTATCTCAAAGATCGACAAAATGACTTTCCTCTGCGTTTTATCCTCTAAGCCTAAAACGCGAAAAACTGTCAAAAAGTAGTGCTGTGCTGCTTAGCCAACTTCTATGTAACCTTTCCCAGATGTAATCGTTCGAAATTTTTGTGGTAAAAGTGCATAACGAATTAAGAAAAGTTATTATTGCTTTCGCCATAAGCGTAAGGTTCCTTGAGAAGTTTTTATTTTCTAGCTCAGATAAGATAAGTGATTGGAGAAGAATACTTGACAGGCTCTATATGAATGATCTATGCATCGCACTAAGCTAAGCACGCTCACTTATGGTTACAAAAGCAGTTTTCTTAGGTTGTCAAGAACATAATAGTGCTTTTTGATGGGTGGCGGCCAAGAATAACGATAGCTCTGCCAGCTGCTAGCTGCCAGCTGCTCGCGCGCGCAGATCAGCTCGCCA